AGCACAAGGAAATTTAAAGGGCTCAGTGGTAGCCTGAGATCAGATTCAGATGGCTTTGCAAGCCCTTTAAAAGCCCCATAATCACCCCCTGCCTTGAGAGCTTCAGAAAAAGGGTGCTGAATGTGTGGCCACCCATGGCACTTTTTTCTTTGTAGAGCTACAAATTTTGTACTAATTTAGCACTATAAAAAATAACATCTGGAGGGGACCTCAGACAGCAACATGAAACTGACACTATTGACAGTTTCATGATTGCCCTAAGGGTTATGAATAGACACATTTAAATTGATTTGTACTGTCAAATTCTGGTAGAGTGAAGCTAACAAGTTATTAACAGAAGCACTAACACTAGAGTTCCGTCTACAGGCTCCAGGCAATACCACTATCTAGATTTATATTTAGTACAATAGGATCTTACACAGACTTAAAAAACATCCTAGCTAGTAAAAGCTTCACTTCTACAAAAACCAATATCTTGGATTCCCACAAAAAGAGATTCCCACTTGCCAGCTTTGAGTAGGTTTTAAAAGCCCTGGTTATGTGAAGACAATTTATCAATCAATGAAAGATCCAATGTACCAACTCCAGCAATGTTAAAGGGATTACAGATCTATTAGATTAACTGAAACCAGAACATTATTTCATCTTAGGTAACTGCAAATCCTGCTACTCCAAGGTGTAGTGGGGCAGCTCCATGCCCAGGATAGCCATGCAATGCCTGGGGCAGCACTAGCTGCTGATCACAGCAGCATGATCACCACTGCTGTGGTAGCAGTTATTTATGCACCCCCCCTCTCACAAAGGTGGTGCCTAGAGCTACCGCCCCCCCCGCCCCCCTGCATGGTGAGGGAGGGAGGGAACAGGGGCAGGGTGGTGCAAGGCGTGGGACAGACCTGTGGCTCAGCGGGGGGGAGGGGGTGGCTCCTGCTGCTGCACGCACCCCGGGAGGGCATGGGGGGGAGGGGGAGGGAGGGGGCACGTGCCCCCAGATCAGTGCAAGGCAGGGCAAGTAAGCTGAAGGCTGGAGCCAGGGCTGTGCCAGGCTCTTCTCACTGGGGTTTGGGTGGGGGCTACAGATACCCCAAATGTCGCTGTAGCTCCCTCGGAGCACCACCGCATGCCCAGTGTAACCCTGGCGCTTCCCAGCGCTTGGGGGGGAGCCGAGGGTTGAGCTGGGAAGAGCTGGGGCTGCACCAGGCACGCGGTGGCTCTGGGAAGGAGCTACAGCAACATTTGGGGTGGCTGCAGCTGATCAGCATGAAGTAATCACCCCATATGCCCAACAGTGGCTGCCACTAGGTAGCTATTTTTAAAAGCCACAAAGGCAACAATGAACAGTCAACCAGTGAGGAAAACTGGATCATTCTGCTGCTATAGCATAAGTCATGCAGCACATATGACAGCATCTATGGAATTCGCTGTAAAAACTTCACAGAAACAGAACAGCTGACAAGCCTTTTGCAAACATTTAGAAGCTTCCACTGAATTCTGATGGCTTTTAAGGTCTGGGGAGCTTCATCTGTTTTATCTTTTGTTAAGGACAAATGCAATTTAATCACATTGCAAACTATTTTAACATAGGCAGTAGCACTTTAAACTATCAAAACTGAAATGTTAAGGATCTGTTTTGTTTTACATTGCATAGTTATTGTGTTTCTCATTTTAGAAGATGGAAAAAAAAAAAAAATCAATGAAGTGTCAGATTTTTAGTGCTGCAATAACGACATTTCCAGCTTTTACGGTATCACAGTAAATATTTCAGATGCAAAGAGAACCTAAGTCAATGCAGTGCCATCTTCCCAAATTAGCTGGAAGACAGCTCAAGTGCCTTTGCAAACTGCTGTGACATGACATAACTGGGTAGAATGCATAGTCAAGTTTACTGGTACCAAAAAGAAATTGCAAGCACGCTGAAGTGTCAAGATTTGAGTCTTGGGCTACAGTTCTTAAGTTCTGAGCAACTTCAGAGAAGGCCCAAGAGCTTTTCAGATGGGACTACCCCCAAAAAAGTCTAGATAGACAGACCTGGGGTGGAAAGACAGAACAGAATTCTTCTCCAAACTCTAAACCCTCAGCATAAAATTGTCTCGTGTTAGGCACACACATAGGAATATGCGCAAACAAGCTCCTTTTCAAGTGCTGAAAGGTTCAGGAAAGATCCTCTACCTTCCAGCGAGCTGCAGGCAAGAAGCCTACCATAGGAGTAGAGAGAGGAGTACAACAGGAATCCCTACACCTTGTATCTTCAAGCAATCATGGAACTGGAGGCTCCTCAACAGCACACACCTGCTAGACTTCATTTATGTCTTCCCTATCCATTCCTAATGCAGTTTCCACAGTACACTTCACCCTTTAAGGAGAAACTTAGGGTAATTTTTTTCCCCACATTGGTTATTAACATTTCTCACTGGTAAATAGAAAGCATGGTATAAATTTCAAAGCATATTCATCCATGGTGCTTCATAGATTCACAGAAGTAGGGTTGGAGGGGACCTTGTAGATCATCAAGTCTGACTCCCTGCCCTGGGCAGGAGAGAAAAACTGGGCTCAAATGACCCCAGCCAGGTAGACATCAAGCCTCCTCTTAAAGACCCCCAGGGTAGGAGCCATCACCACTTCCCTTGGAAGTTGGTTCCAGATCCTAGCCGCCCTAATTGTGAAGTAGTGCCTTCGGATGTCTAGTCTAAACCTATTCTCTAACAATTTGTGGCCGTTATTCCTTGTTTCCTTAGGGGGCGCTAGGGGGAACAGGGTCTCTCCCAAACCCTGCTGGTCCCTCCTAGTGAGTTTATAGACAGCCACCAGGTCCCCCCCTCAGCCTTCTCTTGCAAAGGCTGAACAGGTTAAGGTCCTGTAGCCTCTCTTTGTAGGGTCTGCCCTGCTGTCCCCGGATCGTGCAGGTGGCCCTCCTCTGGACCCTCTCAATGTTGTCCACATCCCTCTTGAAGTGGGGTGCCCAGAACTGGACACAGTACTCCAGCTGCGGCTTGACCAGTGTCGCATAGAGGGGGAGGATCACCTCCTTGGCCCTGCCTGAGATTCATCTGTGGATGCACGATAAGGTACGTTTAGCCCTACTGACTGTGACCTCGCATTGTCAGCCCATGTTCATCTTGGAGTCAATAATGACTCCAAGATCTCTTTCTGCCACTGTGCTCTCGAGAAGGGAGTTTCCCCATCTTATAAGTGTGCTGCTGGTTCCTACTGCCCAAGTGCAGCCCCCTGCACTTGTCAGTATTGAAATCCATCCTATTTTCGTTAGCCTACCCCTGTAATCTGTCCAGGTCCTGCTGTAATCTGTCCTTCCCTACTAGCGTGCCCACCTCACCCCAAATCTTGGTATTATCAGCAAATTTTTAAGGCTGCTTTTTACCTTAGAGCATCAGATCACATTACTCAAATCATTTATAGCAGGTTACAAATGTTTATACTGGAAAAGTTAAAAGTTATTGTGCTAAAAAGCTGGCCTGCCTCAGCTTTCCAGACACAGAGGACATTAAGACCACCAATGTTTTATTTTTATTCTAACGATAAATATGTACTATCGTTGTTCTTTAGCAACACCTTGCTTACTGACTAAAAAGTACTCTTGCTTGTCTCTCTATATTTAAACATGTTATCATCAAGAATCAGTTTTAAAAGAATTACACAGAACCCCTTCAAAATGGGGTTGCCACAAGGTTTGGTCAAATTTTAGTCTAATATATTATGTCTTCAAAGCTTACATATAAAATTGCAAACATGCATAGGTTACACAACTACCCTTAGTGAGTCAGTGCAGTAGTCAGAAATCGATGTTAATCTCCATTCAATACATGTTAATTTACCTTTCAAAACTGTTTGAATGCTACAAAATAGGGGTTCCCAAAGTTTTTATGCTGCAGCCCAGCAAACCACAGCCCAGCAGTCACAGCCAAATGCGGCTAGAGTTTCCAGCTGGAAGACAGGTAAGCATACCCCCATCCCCTGGGTGGGCAGGTAGGCCAAACCCTGCACTGCTGCAGGCCCTGCAGAAGGAGCTGTGGTCTCTCCGCCCAGCTCCGGGGGGCTGCAGTTTGCCAGTCCACAGCCACTTCCGGTCCATCAGCCAACCATGCTGCGGACTGGCAGTCAACCCGCTGTGGCTTGCCATTGGGCCACTGACTAGGGATTGAGAACCCCTGCTATACAAAAAACATTCAAATATTTATTTTCCTTTTTTGTCATTTGTTTTACACTTGGAAGTTCTATTTCTTTCTACTGATTTGCCAGAGGAGATTAAAAATTAATTGTGAACTTCTTTATGTCATTTTCTTCTTTTCAATCCAAATCCCATTTATTTTCAGCTTTGGAAGCAATAAAGTTTCAAGTATTGTATTACCAAGACAAATTGATGGTACAAAAATTTCTTTTGGAATTCCTATAAAGCAGACTCATAGAGGCTTTTTGATCCTGTGTTCTATTTGCTTTTTATCTTAAAAGAAAAAAAATCTTCCTCCTTCCCCAAGAACCACCCATCAAAATATTGTATATTTAACAGTGGAAGAAAAAAAAAAAAAAAAAAAGAGAGAGACATATTCCACATCAAGTTTGGTTGGGCTTTTCAGAGATGATGTTAACCTTAACAGGACATGGACACCCCACCCAAAAAACCCCCTAACAAGCTATCAAAACCCATAATTATTTTAGCTGCATGTTCAACTTTCATTCACCTGAAAACGTCTGGGGGGAAAAAGGACACAGTATATGACCCCTACCAAACCAGTAACAGTCGAGTACACATCCATGTGCCACTGTTGTTTATATATAAACTGGATCAGTATTACCAGAAGATACATTTCTGAAATTCCTTAATTCTGTTTAACTGCTTCAAAAGAAGTTCCTTAAATAAAACATGGTGCAAAACTCAGAGTATAAGAGACTATCTGCAGTAGTGAATAAGGCAAACACTAAGAAAAGTGTGTAAAAAAAATGAATAAACAGGGAAGTTTTAGTGACTAAATGCACTTTGAAATACTTACCTTTAAATTTAATGTCCAGACCACTAAACTCCAGTTCAACTCCTTGAAGTGCTTCTCCTAGTGTTTCATGGTAATGGCTGATGCTTTTTTTTGATCCCACACAGAAGGGAAGAGAGAAGTATTTGTATGTCTCTTGGCGATTGTGGTACGGTCCTACTGTATTCATCCACAAAACAACTTCTTCTTTATCTTGGTACTGAAAGACAAGTATATTAAAACATATGAGAAGCCTGGCAGAGTAAAACGTATTCATTACTCATTTTATCTAGAGAGGCAGCAGTATGACTGTAGCATCCAGAAAAGAGAGTCCAAGCAACAGCTGCACTTAAAATTAACTATGGCAAAAAGTCACATAGAAAAAGATATTTTTCCTAAGTCCTATGACCACTGCTCTTCATTTTCTTAGTGACACAAAGTATCAGTGACATCTTACTTTTAACACTGCCAGAAATTAAGAGCACCTTTACTGAAAGCATACTTATTCACTGCACCTACGCACAGTTGTTAGTACAAGTGATGAATATCCCAAGTAGCATAGAGAGAGATTGTAATCCAGTAAAAAACCAGCATTCTTCTTCCCCTTAACCCTGAAGTAGCAGAGGCTGGGCTTTGTCTTGAACTTCTCTGAAGGAGCACCCACCAGCTACCTCTAGCCAGTAAATTTAGTCCCAAGTCAGAACACAGTAAGTTTTCCAAGCCTTAAATCACAAGAAACTCAGCTTTCTGGATATATGAAGATCACACACACACGATCTGGGAAAGGGAAAG